CACTGCGCTACAAGATTGTACCGCCAAAGCGTCAACTATACTATGCAGCCCGATGCATTGGACGAGAGCGCGTCGGCTTGTTTTCCGACAATCCCACCGAGGATGCGCAAGCGGCAGTCTTGGGGACATCGGCCATTGACGCCACGCGACTGGAGCGACGTCGGACCAAGCAGGAGAGCAAGATGAACCGCCAAAAGAAGCAAACGGCCATGCAAGCGGCGAATGCTCACATGGACGGCTACACTGGTATTCCAGTCTTTTGGAATCCGCAAATGCAAAAGCGATTGCCATTAATCAAGCGACTGACGACTGGTGTGCAGCATGAAATTCCAATGTTCTTCAACTATGAGGACATGCAAAGTGCCTGGCAAACGTTGCGGTCGAGAAACAAAAAAGCCATTGTTGCGGAGGAACCAGCTGGCGTGCAAGTCTTCAACTTGATGGATTTGCTCACGTCGATTGACCGTGATGAGTGCGCGCGGAAACAACGACAAAGTATTCGCGACAAGCTTCTTCAGCCGCTCAAGAATCGATTCATTTCGCAAAGTGGACCTGATTTGCAGCATGTAACCTTTATTCCGTCTAGTCGCAGCATTCAATACAAGGAAGCAATGTCGGCGCGAGGCAATGGCAAGTGTCGTTTGCGTCCAATGCGTTAATCATGTTGGTTAGTTCAATGTTGGAATAAGTTGCCATGTTACATCAGCTAGTTGTATAATGTGAAGTGAAATGGTCAAGGTATGAGCTACGTTAGTGGAGGGACGAACAACGCTTGCGCGACTGATACATACGACAATTGATCCATCGTTGAAAGATGCGACGCTGCAGAACGACTACGCTAGTAGCTATCAATCGCTCAACGCCCCAAGTCCTTCAGGCTTTAGCATTGGCAACTGCGGAGCATAGAGCCTTTGCGTTGTTAGATATATGTTGTGGATGCGCGAGCGAGTAATCGAACCTTCGACGTCGTTCCATGAGTCGCTCCGGTTCTCCCAAGCGCAACGCAGACGAAGCGACCGTTCAACCGATCAACAACACACACAACGAGTCTCTTGAGCTCATCCATGTTTTTGTTTCGTTGGCCTTTTTGCAGTATACTTTAGTCGCATATAACTGTGCAGCAGTGGTGAGTTTGAAAAAGAGAAGCAAAGAGAACGTATAATGATGACAGAAAGTGTTGGTGCAAAGCAAGACTTCTTGGAGAACTTAGCCCTGGAGGTGCTTCCGTTCGTCTTTGCAGTTTAAATGCTGCATCAGATTGGAGGTGCAGTTGATATAGATTCTTGATGAATGGACTGCAGACAAAGAGAGTTCATGATGTATCAGTGGATGCAGCAGATGATCAAATGCGCCATACTAACTCTCATTTATTCGTTCCTCTGCTTCTCTTCTCACAGTTTAAACGAGCTGTCTTCCGGATCATTGCAAAGGCGTCGACAGTTTCTCATAACCACTAATCAGCAACACTCTAAATTAGATTTACCATGCCAGTCGCAGTGAACGCGAGTCCATCGCCATCGTCCGGCGGAGGTCCGCCCCGAACGACGGCAACGAGCCGACGAGGCGGAAGAACCCGATCACGGTCGCCTCCCACCATGGGGCGGCCATTAGGTGGAGGATCGCCCTTTCCGCCATCGTCCGTGGTAGTGCTTGGAAACGGTGGTGGAGGAGAGAACCCATCGTCGGCCGCTGCCGCGGCGGCAGCAGCAGCCAAGGCTTACTCGAATGGTCCGCCGCCAACTACTAGTGGTGGAGGTGCGGGCGGTCGACTGCCACCAACACACTCGGCATGGCCAGAAAGCAGCGCTCGAGACGATCCACCGGCTGCTGGATATCATAATGGTTACGACAAGCAGCAGCAGCATTACCATCATCATCAACAAGGACCTCCGCCGCCGCATCCACCACAAAGTGGTAGTCATAATTGGCCGACTGGTCCAGAGGATGCGGCCGCTCGATCATCCTATCGCTATCAAAACGAGTATCCGCAAGGATACACTTCCAATGTTCGCTATCGAGACGACCGCTACCACCACGACGGTAGGTACCGCGATATGCCGCGCGAACAATACTATGATGAGCGAGGACAGCCACTGCCTCCAACACCGCACCATCATCCCCACCATCGACCTTCGCGACACAGTGGACCATACCCAGTCGATTACCGCTACAGTCATCACGGGCGCGGTGGCGTTCGATCCAATGCACTAAACATGGGCCATCGGCCTCCACCGCAACCACATGGCGGCGGCGGCGGAACGTCGCTCGTCATTGGAGGCGCCACGCCGATTCATATTCCCAAAGTTTCGCTCGTTGCCAATGAGCACGAGCATCGCGGAATGGTGGAGCGGACCGATAGTCGAACGTCAAGTCGGCAAAGCCGACGAGGCACGGCCGAGTCTGTCTTTCGGGGACGTCCCGGTGATGCAGCAGCAGCACCTCCATCGTCGGCCGAAATGGTTGACTCGCCGCAAAAGCTGTTACTTTCGCTGCGGACACCGTCGGCGTCGTTTGAGGAAAAGGATGGAGCGAAAAAGAGCGCTGCGTTTGCGGAAAAGGCGGGTGAACTGTTGCCGGTACGTGGAGCAACTTTGGACTCATTGATTTTGTGGCATCAATATGCTAACCTAACTGCTTTTTATGTTCAGGAAAACCGAAGTCCAGAAGACAGCAAACACTCTGGCTCGATAGAAACAGCGCAGTCCTACTCCTTATTCAACCAATCCTTTGATAGTTTTGGCGAAGGAAATATTTTCAACATCGATTCCACCTTGCAGAATGATTCGTTTGGAATGGGTCGCATCGCCAGCGTCGATGCAGAGGCTGCAACTCAAATTCTACACGCAACATCCGGGAACTTCGCTCAGCAACTGCTTACCGCGAACTCGGGAGGACTGACGCTTAGTTACAGTCCAGTAAACTCGTTTGGAAACGTGTCGGCAGTTGCAAATGGCCAATCGCGAAGGACAGGGACGACCATGGTTGTTGGAGGTGGTGATCCCTCGAACCCTCCAACGCAGGAATTGGTATATCAGTCATACTCCATGAATGGTCCGAGAGCAGGTCCACTGGATGACAGTCATTTACGCATGAGCGTGGGTTCCTTTGGTCTTGGCGCGACATCCTTGCCCTACAGTAGATCATACGGCGAGGGTCCGCCAACTGGCCCTTCATCATACGGCTACGCAGCCATTCGCGGGCAAGAAAACGCCGACGGCACGCTCGTTTTTTACGAGTTCTTGGCAAAGTATAAATCAGCTTTCAAAGATTGCGAGTTTTTGTTGCCAGGTTTAAAGAGTGCTTTACTCGAATCGCCAATCTCCGGCAAGGAAGGCTCGACGAATCCAGTGACTATCGAAGCAGAGTCTACTAACACCGAATCAGCTGTCCCTTACGGCGAGCCGTCGCCTCAGGATGTTGCTCTTGCGCGCAGGCGCGTCGAGAGCTCCATCTTTGCGTTTGGAGGGAATCCGCACAGTCGCGACAACGTTCAAAGTAAAGGCAATGGTGAAAACTCTATTTTTCGAGGAACTAACAACGATGACCCGGACAAGCAAACTTCCGCCACCATTACTCCTGGCTCGACAACATCGACCAACGATGCCCGGCATGCAGACTGCCGCGCCAAGTCCAGATACGAGGAAGAGCTGCCAAGGCGCTATTACGAGAACCAGAGTCGGTTATCATGGGAGTTTGAAGAGACGCCTCCCGTCGAAATAAGCCTAGAGACTGATGAATCTGATGAATACGCCGAGGACGACCCGGATTCACCTCATCGAGGACAAACGACCGCGGAAGGCAACGATTTTAGAAACTCTGACGAGGCGAATGGCAACATCAGTGGAGGCGACCAGCGCCTGAATTCGGCCCCTTCCAGTCCACAACCCAAAATGCGTTATCGTTGTAAGCTCTGTGGGCAGCCGAAGCAGAACCACACTTGCCCGTATCAGCAATCGCTCGCTCGCAGCATCGGTGTCATGGTGTTTCCGTCGGTTAACGCATTCACGGCAGATGAGCCTGGGTCATTAGCTCCGCCTTTGACGGAAATGAATAACTTTTTTGATGCCAGAGAACCCGGGTCCAATGACTCGACGCCAAGTCGTCCGTCGCCGGATCGCATGCGAAGCAGGCTGCCTCCTGTCGGACCCGTGACATCAACCACGCAAGTTACGCCCGAGTCAATGCGCTCAAGCCCTCGCAGCAACCTTCATTCTCCAACGCCATCTTTCGCGACTACACCTGCTCAGACACCACTTCGACATACAACGCCCAGTCGGAGTGCAATGAGTACTGGCAGCAGGAAACGTTCGTATGCGACACTGAATGGAACCCCAGAGGCAACCGATCTGCTCTTTATGGAGCCTATGGAGCTAAAGGTTGATCAATTTCGAGTCGTCACCCCGTCCAAGGTTTTGAATGCGACTGATGCATTCTGCTATCCATCGTTGCCACTTCCGTATGCGCAGCGCAAGCGATTGAGTGATAATCTTTACGCCCTCTCCAGCGAGGTTCCAAGGTTAACGGATGAGTGCGCCCTTGTGCTTCGCGAAGCACGCGAGAAGGATATGTGGGACTTGGCAGTTGCAGAGCTCATGACACAGGTTATTGTTATCATTCACTGTCCGGACGGAGACGCACGTTTTGACGGTCTTCGCCAATATTTATTGACATTGGGCATTGCTTGCTAAGAAATAGTTACTGTTAAGGTAGAGCTTATGTAAAACGCTTAGTCAAACGTAGTATAGATGTATAAGCGGCTACCCATTCTATCTGCGCCGCTCATTTAATGTAGCTTGCAGCATTACTGTTCTGTTTCCAAAAGCTTAGCAAAACGTGTACTCGTAGTCTTGTCGGTGTCTGTTCCGTAAAACTCTGAATAGGCTAGGGACAGGCTGATTGGGACTGTGTTGGCCAAAATGAAGCTTCTCACACACTTGCCGGACTTCGACAACCACTCAGCTCTTCAAGCATCATGGCAGCATCCAAATCAACAAAAAGAATGTCGCAACAGTGAATCGAACACTGGGCCTCAAGATCTTCAGTCTTGCGCTCTCCCAACTGAGCTATTGCGACACATACTAATGAGCTAAATGTTTACGTATACAAACTCTGATAGTACCAAGCTACACAGGCTGTTCTTGATTATTTAGCTTGGTAAACTCCAGTATATTGCTTTAGAAATGTTGGGTGGCTTCATATACAAGTAATTAACATTGATGAACTCCTGTTTCATGACCTTGTAAACTGAGTAAGCACGTAACGCTATATGTACGGTCGTGTGTGGCATACAATCACAGCACAACCGAGACGAAAGATAGCGATGCATTCAATGACACATCATCATACTCAAAGTTATTAAAAACGTTCTTTTATTACTACTTTGTATAGTGTGAACGCCTTTGTAAAGCATTCTACCCGTGGCTTGCAAAGTATTACACCGCCTTTCTTAGCAAGTGCTGGTTGTGCTAACTTGGCCACGATGCTGCTGTCAGGTCTTACTATCCAAAGCGCAACTTCTCCATTTAAATGGCATCAGCAAAGTTCTCGCAACGAGATGTGGGCTCGTCTTGCCTACCGTAGCTGCATAAGGTCCATTGGCTCGTTCATCAATCATCATCGACCACTTCCAACAGTGGACTCCCTTCCTTCAATGGCGGAAGTCCTTGCTTATCCCACACTTCAATCTTGATGCCTTTCAAAACACATGTTCTGTAGGCTTGATACTTGTCGTCACAAGCTTCCGCTTGGGATATTTTCTTGCCAGTGAGAAACTCCTTGTAAAAGTCGGAAGAGCACTTTTCGTATCGATTCTTTTTTCTCGCGCACTTGTGATTTACAAGTTCCATGCCGGACAAGTTTTCATTTGAGTTTAGTTCGGCATTGTTAGTTGATGATGGCGTTGCTTGGCTGGAAGAAGAATCGTCGGAAGGTGCGAGGGTGCTTGCGGGCGAGGGTTTTTGAACTGCCAGACTCTGTGTCGATCCCATACTACTGGCCGTTCACCTACCAGAAGGGTTGATGTTTCCGATGCTGTTGCTACCAATTGGCCACGACTTGTCCTTCTTCGGCACTTCGTCGACACTATACACCATGCGATGCATGATGGGAGAAAAGGAGAGTGGTTCGTCTGCCGCCCACCACGTGGCGAGTACCGGTACGACGTGTCAATCCCGCAAGAAGTCCAACGCATCATCGGCGCGGCGTGATTGCCATCCATCAAAAGCAGAGGGCGAACAAAAGATCCTTGATCAATCATCCACACTTTCAACGACCGACTCATCCAACCGATCCATAACGCTTAATCGCTCTTCTGGAGACTTTTTTGACTTGGCGAAAGAGACAAGTTCCTAGCTGCTTCTTTATCTTATGCGATCGTTCACTAGTGTCGCGGCTCTCCTGATTTCCTTGCTCTTGACGATTACACCTGCTTCAAGTAGTAACCCATCCCTTCCAGCCGTTGTCACCTTTACCAAGAGGCCATCGTGAGTAAATCGACTGATTTGAATGCTGCATAAGCTTGTGTTCATCCGTCTCACCCATTCGCTCCATCGCGCTCGTTCCAACAAGCAGACGAACGCTTGCCAAGGTTGATCCAACCCTTCCACTTCCAAAATCCAACGACTTTTCACCAATCATGTCATCATCTACTGAAGCCAAACCAGTCGCTGTCGGTCTTCCCGATGCTGCCAAGCTGCTCATTGGAGCTGGCGGTATCTACGGAGCCTTTTTATACTATGGATCGCTCCAGGAGGATGTGTTTCGTTACACTGCCGCCGACGGAACCTTGTTCAAGCAGGCCTGGTTCCTGCAAGTCTTGGAGGCACTCGCCAATGTCATTGTCGGCTTTGTCGGCATGATTTTGACGGGGGCGACGCCAAATATTCCGCTCAAAATGTTTGCCATTTCCGGAGCGGCTCAAGTTTCCGCCAAGGCGTGCACTAGCTTGGCCTTGGCGAATGGACTATCCTTTCCGGTCGCAACCTTGGCCAAGAGTGGCAAGATGGCTCCTGTCATGGCTGGATCACTATTGCTGGGAGGAGCGCATTATGAGCTGCGCGAGTATTTGCAAGTCTTGGCCATTATCTTGGGAACGGCTGTTGTCAGCATGGGCAAGAAGAAGGGTGGAGCACCCAGTTCAACTTTGGGAGTTGTGTACATTGTTCTTAGCTTGGCGCTTGATGGAGTGACGGCTGGCTTTCAGAAGCGTCTCAAGACAGAGACGGCCAAGGTTGGCGTCAAGCCCAAGCCGTATGATTTCATGTTGGTACGTTGCATGCTTGTGCGAAAACTACGTCCACTCTACCAAAATTGATGGCTCTTTACTTACGCATATGTCATTTTGTCAATTTACAGTGGACAAATTTGTTCATGTGCATTACGGCTGCCTTGATTGCTCTGCCTCTCGGTGAAATGACTTCGGGAATCGCGTACTGCGTTGATAATCCTGAAATCATGTCCAAGATTGTTCGATTCTCCATTTGCTCGGCCGTTGGACAGTCATTCATCTTCTACACGATTGCCAACTTTGATCCTCTTGTCCTTTCGACGGTTACCACGACGCGAAAGATCTTTAGCGTACTGCTTTCCATCATGCTCAAGGGCCACTCGTTGTCTGCCGTTGGCTGGGCTGGCATTTCCATGGCTTGCGCTGGTATTTTATCGGAGCTCCAAAATAAGGGTGGAAGCAAACCAAAGACGGACGAGAAGAAGCGTTCTAGCTGAAGCCAGGTAGGAGTGGAGGATGCATCTGCGCAGGAGATTCCTCTGCTTCGCATGACACGTAGTAATAGTTCACAAGACGGCCATCATGATGTAAGTGATGGTCTCCATTTGCGGCATCCTAATGTTTAAGTATGTTAAAAATAAGTAACATGGTATACTAGCTAGTATGCAAAGCAACAGGCACCGTCGTGCGGCATTGTGCTTGCGCACGCTACTCGAATGAGAACGCTGGACGTTTTTGTTTCATTCCACGTTTTACCGCTCCAGCAAATGTGATAGTAAGGCGCTCACGTCCTTCTCGCTCCAGTTCCTTGCGGACTTCTGATGCGCCGTCATGATGATCTGTTTCACTGTCGTTAGCTTTAACGGCGTCGTCTTGACGAGGCTCGTTCGATTCGCGAATTTTCTTCAGCTCTGTTTCTTCCCATTCTGCTGCCAAGTCACGCTGCAGCATCTGCGTATACACCATGGACCCAATTGATGCCATGCGCTGTCGCATTTTAACGAGCTCCTGCTGAGATTTCTCGAACATTGCTTTTTGAAACTTGGCTACTTCGCCGTGGGAATTATCATGTTTGCCATCGTCTTCCTCGTCAAAGTTTGGAGTCTCGAAGTCCATGCTATCGCGCCGCTGTAGCGCGCGCCGTACGAGGCGTACCTTCTGGGTCGCGTATTCCGATGGTTGAGTGCGTTCCATCGATGATACTACAGGATCTATAGCAGCATCTGCTGATGCCGCGTCGCCACCTTTCTTCAACGTCGCAAAGAAGCGTGCCTCGTCAGCCCTTTCCTGCGCCTCCATTTCGCGCTCGGCATTTGCGTGATCAATACGCTCGCGTTCCAACCGATCAGCCACAGTAATCAACAGCTTGTTAATTGCCAGTTCGAGTTTCATCGCCATTATAATAGCTGATTCGTACGCTCGTCCAGAAACTGTGTCAGTGCCCTTCAAACGACCGTTGTACTTGAGGGCATTCGCAAAGATTAGACGAAGATCTGAGATAATGTCGCCAAACTTATCGTAATGGCGCTTCTTTAAAGTCCTGTTAACCCTCTCCCAATCCATCGGCTTAGAAATGTACGCTGTATAGTCCGCCGGGTAGTTAGGTTGTAAAAAGAAGGTCATGTATCGAAGGTCGGATTGGTGTCGGAGCGATTTCAACAATTTCTCGCATTCTGACTCTTGCCAAGTGTAACGATCTCCTTCCAGGCTCTTTTCAATCGGTTCACTGAAAACTAACTTCTCCATTTCTTCCCTGGCGCGTTTTCTGTTTCCTTCCGTCAAACGCCACGAGAAGGGAGGGAGTCCAGCGGCAGTATCATCGTCCACGTGATCGTTCTTTTCTATGTAAGGCGCAAGCAATTCCATTGACAACCATCTCGAGTAACGAAGCAAGTGTATCGATGCATCATAGTAAGCGCAGGAGAGAGGGTCGCCGACATCTTTGCCGTCGCGATTAAAGCGCACGGCATTCGCAAAAACGAGTGCAACGTCCGCTACAAAGTCCTCAGGAGCTGCATAGCGATTGCCCGCCAATAGGGTGCATTCAATCGTTGTTAGATCCATCGGCTTGCGGACTTTTGCCGCATACGCCTCCCGTAGCTCTGGAAATAACGTCGGTACAGGAACGTGAAAAATATAGGTGGGCCGTGCTGCAGAAATCCAAGGATGCCTCATCAATTCTTTGAAGTACTTGGCACAATCAGCTTCCCACGGTTGCAAGCCTTTAATCTGCCGGCGGAGCGGAAACGCTTCTTTGACGCGAGCAATTGCAATGTGTAGCGGAACAGGTTGATCCGGCTTAATAGTCGGTACGCTACTCTTCTTTTGCGTTTGCGATGGCGCTTTCATGCGAGCTGCCATCGAAAGCTGCGCAGCTGAAATTGATATTCGAGGAGCAATCTTGCCACCAGGTTTGTTGTTGTTCGCTGTCGAAGCAGACATCGGGGATGCTTCAGAAGTGACTTGATCAACCGGCTCGTTCTGCTGTTCTTCGACAGCTTGAGGCACAGAGCTTGGGTCTTCGAACGCTCTCATCTTAATGTAAAAGAGCTTTCTAAATAATTTTGCACCTGTCTTACTCATGCCGACCAAACGTTCACCTCCTCGTGGTGCATAATACTTCTCGCTGTTCTTGAAAATTAAATTGACATCGTACTCAAAATCCTCAGGCGTTGCGTACACTCCGGCTTTAACTCTGCGCTCGATGAGGGATAAATCTATCGGCTCCTTTATTGCCTCCATATAGTCTGGAAATGCCGAAAGTGACACCGGCTTTTCAAAAGGTCCCATAAGTGGCTCCGAAATTTTTGTCGCCTTGTCTGTGTATTTTGTCTCCCGCAGCTCTTGC